CATCACCACCTGGTTCGAAGGGGAGCTACAATGGGATGTCTCACTCACGGTCTCTTCCACCGTAACTCAGTACCTGGGACTCAACATATTCGACGGAAAGAACGCGATCTACCTCAACGCCGCAAAATACACCGACACAATCGCCAAACGCTTCGGATTATTGCCAGCCGTCATATCCACGCCCTACCGCTACACCGCCGGAAATCACCAGGAAAAGTCTAATCCGCTCGGACCTGCCGGACTACGCGACTACCAGCGGAAACTTTTATGCTTACTCTTCGCAGCTGCTACCTGCCGACGGACCTGTCGTACTCATCGAGCCAGCTTGCCACCTATCTCAAACGGCCCGAAGCAGAACATATGGCGGAACTCGACCACGCATTACACTATCTCGTCAGCACACCTACAATCGGCCTAACCTACCACAAGACCGTGTCGCGATATATATTTTATATATATTTCTAACTGCCTGTAGCTTTAGCTTTAGTGTAGTTATGCTTTCGTACTATTTGTGGTGCACCTTCTCATGTTTGCTATATGTACCCCAGTGCTATAGTGAAACCACATCATTCTTTCTCGACTCCCCTTGGCACAACCTCCTCGATACCACCATGGCCTAGGCTACTAAGCCTAGGCCCTAACTTAAACTCAACTGCTACTTATGCTACGATTCTGACATGCTATCAGAGCGGTTCCTCCTCGGACCGATCATAATGGGCCCACCGTTAGCTTCCGCTATGGCACACCCTGTCGCACCGCCCGTCACGCTGTCTGCCTCTGCCCGGCGCCTCGTGCGCCTCTGCCTGTCGCGCGCCTGTCGCGCGTCGGTTTCTGCCCGTCGTGCGCCCCGAGCGCGTGGCGGTTTCTGTCCGTCGTGCGTCCCGAGCGTGCGGCGGTTTCTCGCAGCAGCGCGCCCAGCGCGCCCTGCTGCCCTGCGTGCCCAGCGTGCCCTGCTTCCCTGCAGCCCGCGTCGCCTGCAGCCCGCGTCGCCTGCAGCCCGCGTCTCCTGCTGCCCGCATGCGCCCTGCTGCCCGCGCGCCCTGCAGCCTGCGTCGCCTGCTGCCCCCGCGCGCCCTGTTGCACTGCGCGCCCCGCGCGCCCTGCTGCCATGCGCGCCCCGCGCACCCTGCTGCCCTGCGTGTCCAGCGCGCCTTGCTGCCCCGCGCGCCCCGCGCGCCCTGCTGCCCTGCGCACCCCACGCGCCCTGCTGCCCTGCGTGCCCCGCGCGCCCTGCTGCCCTGCGCATCCTGCTGCACAGCGCGCCCCGCGCGCCCTGCTGCGGTGCATGGCGACTGCGGTGTGCGCGGCTGCTCCCCTCTGCACGCGCATCTGCAGCCGCATGCGCAGCCCCTACCCCGCCCACCACCTCCTCTTCTCTCTCCCTGCCGCACTTGTCGCTGTGCCGGGAGAAGGGGGGGAGCTTGGAGGTTAAGGGGGTTGGCAGGAAGGGATCTGCAGCACCAGCCCCCCCCGCCCCCCCTTCTCCTCCATCCCCCTGCTGCGGGTGCAGCAGTGGGGGGGGGGGGGGGTATGGGGGTGGCGGGATCTTGGAGGTTAAGGGGGTGGCAGGAATGGATCTGCAGCACCAGCCCCCCCACTCCCCCCCCCCCCCCCCTTTCTCCTCCATCCCCCTGCTGCGGGTGCAGCAGTTTGGGGGGAGGAGGGGGGGAGAGGGTGTGAGGGGGTGGCGGATGTGTTTCAGCAGCAGCAGCTGCCGCCACGCCTCCTCCTCTCTCCCGGCTGCACCTGCTCCTGTGGGTGGAGAGGGTGTGAGGGGGTGGCGGATGTGGCGCACGACGGGTGTGGGGGGGAGATTACGGGGGATCTTGGAGGTTCAGGGGGTGGCAGGAGGGGATCTGCAGCACCAGCCCCCCCCCCCGCCCCCCCCCCCCCCCCTTCTCCTCCATCCCCCTGCTGCGCGTGTAGCAGTTTGGGGGGAGGAGGGGGGGAGAGGGTGTGAGGGGGTGGCGGATGTGTTTAAGCAGCAGCAGCTGCCGCTACGCCTCCTCCTCTCTCATGGCTGCACCTGCTGCTGTGGGGGGAGAGGGTGTGAGGGGGTGGCGGATGTGTTTCAGCAGCAGCATCTGCCGCCACTCCTCCTCCTCACTTACCTCTCTGCCGTCGTCCACTGCGCCAGCTATACCCCTTCAGGGGGTGTGACTTCCTCTAGCTATGTGTTGCAGGTAGTTAAGGGGGTGTGTCGCGATATATATTTTATATATATTTCTAACTGCCTGTAGCTTTAGCTTTAGTGTAGTTATGCTTTCGTACTATTTGTGGTGCACCTTCTCATGTTTGCTATATGTACCCCAGTGCTATAGTGAAACCACATCATTCTTTCTCGACTCCCCTTGGCACAACCTCCTCGATACCACCATGGCCTAGGCTACTAAGCCTAGGCCCTAACTTAAACTCAACTTCTACTTATGCTACGATTCTGACAGACCGGAACCACTATTCCAAAGCTAATCGGCTATGTGGACGCTGACCACGCAGGCGACTCTGACAACAGGCGATCGCGCACCGGCTACATCTATCGACTTGAGCCCGTCGGTCCTATCTCGTGGCAGTCGAGCAAACAAGAACTAATTGCTCTCTCCTCTGCTGAAGCCGAATACATAGCACTCTGCTCAGCCACCAAGGAAGGACTGTACCTTCGCGAACTACTGGAAGAAGCAAAGCTGGCTCAGTTACCCAACTTCTCCCTCTTCTGCGACAACCAATCTGCAATTCGCATAGCGAAGAGCGGGTTCGCGAACCGAACGAATCATATTGCCCTACGCTACTTCTTCGTGAAGGACGAGATCGAGAAAGGGAGAATCGAGCTATCCTACTGCCCCACGTCCGAGATGGCAGCAAATTGCCTGACCAAGAAACTTGGAAAGCAGAAGTTCGAGTACTGCATGCTGCTGACTGGACAGGGCCACGTCACCAGCAACGAAGGCGATGACACTCCAGAAGCAAAGGGGAGTGTTGGAAACATTTAGTTTACGCTTCTGAAGTATCGAGCACTACAACAAAAGAGAAGCATATTCACAGCGAAGCAACAGCTAGTCAACCAAAGCGGTTGACAAAGCGACAACAGCAGGAGGTTGAAGCGAAGGTCAAAGGTCAGCGACCTTTGATTTGACAAAGGCAGCGCGACAGCAAGGACAAATAACTTATTCGCTATTGAGCAGTTACCCGAGTCGTCGCTGTATCGAACCGCAACAGTAGTTACAGTTAAACCCTTCGTATTCCTTGTAATCGTATAAAACCTTGTATCTCTTTGCTATAATAAATTCATCTTGTTCTCACATACTAGTACAAGGTGGTTCAATTAATCCACTATTACACTTCCGCTAAATAAATCACCACTCTGAGAGTTTAGTCTTGAAACGATCCTAAGGACTTTTTTCAGCCCAACATTGAGGATCTTCCATAAGCGCATTGCTCCAAATATAAGCGCATGCGCTTTTATGGTAATAGGCCTGCGGTTATATCCGGGGCGATATGGTAATTTGGTTGTTTTTATTGCTGGATAAGCTTGCAATAGCGGTTGGCTTGTTTTGTTCTGGCTCATAAGCAACCAGCAGACTGAAGCAGTATATCATCTTTGAGTTGGCTGCTTTGTATGCTCAACCTAGATTATATGTTACAAGTGTTGATGCAGTTCCCATTTGGCCTGCTATATACGACTTCAGTGCAAGTCACACTCCTCCCTCCGCGCAAATCCCAACCCAAGGTGATCAATGGGTTGAGAGATAGACCTCTTGGTTCTGCTTTGGGCTTGTCCCACTTGGTGTGGATGGATGGAACTGCCTCTCTTCGCAACGCTAACACTGATCGAAGCCGCGGGACTCTCTCTGCCAATAGGCGATAGCCAAGTCATAACGCTGAGGAGACGAGACGGATAAGTCGCCGTCCCCGTCTGCGCAGCTGCTGCGTCGGACACGCGATCCGGTTCGGCCAGTTTAGCATTCCGATTACTTGCCACGAATCAGCGTTTCGCGGCAACTGCGACAACCAGATTGAGAGAATTTGATCCAGCGCGGCTCCGCTCCGCAATCCTGAAATTCGGGTCGACTCGAACATCTAGAGCGGCGCCGCAACTCTGAGTTCTCAAGGCACCGAGAGGCCGTCGCTCGCACTGCACTGTACGTCGCATAACCTCGTTTATCGGCGACTGCTGAATCTGATCCAGAGCGGCTCCGCAACCCTGACTTTTGGTCGACTCAAAAGTCATTCATCGCGGCGCCGCGACCCTGAATTCCGGAGGCGCCGAGAGGCCGTGGCTTGACCTGCACTGTACGTCGCATGACCTTGTTACACGGTTACTGCTGATCGACTGATTACCGACTGCGATTGGGAGAATTGGAAGAACTGGCGTGGCGAGGTGTCTATCCTGTCTGACAAGGTTCTGGATATTGACGTCTCGAGAGTAGACAGCCGAATCGCGTTTCCTTTTCGATCGTCTGATTGGTTACCGCATCGTTGATTCACTGATCGTCGAATCGGAAGGGGTCTCATGAGTTGATACGTCTAACCACCAGATCTGATTTTGTCTTCATACTGACCTTTTTTCGCTTTCAGTATCTCCTCTCTTCTCTCACTAACCGTAAGCACACTCACCCTCTCTTCCCACTTCCCTCCTCCCCGCTCTTCCTTCCCCCCTCTCTTTCCCTCTCCCCCCCCTCTCCAATACGCGCGTACTCCGATCCCTCGTTTCCCGTTCTTGGCAGTATCCCCGTTATTAACCTCCCTCGCTCTTCAACGCTGAGGGCAGGATGCACGCCATAGGGAAATTCTTCAAAACTGTATACGAGCTTTTTGATGATGACGACGAAGACGAGGATGACAATAACGAGGGCGGGGGTGTAGACGGAGAAGACAATAACGGCGGCTTCTGGGATAGAGCCGGAAACGGACGCAGGTTCTGGGGGATGGGAGGAGGAGGGAGGGAGGAGGAGAGGGGAAGGAAGAGAGAGGAGAGAGGGGGGAAGAGGAGCGAGGCAATGGGTATGGATGGCAGGACAAGGCGACGGGGTGGTGGAGGCAGTAAGCCAGCGGCAGGGAAGGGGAGGCGTGGGGATGGGGAAAGTCCGGAGGGGCATTTGGATGAGACGAGGGGGGAGCTTCTGACTGACAGCAACGGACTGACGTGGCGACCTCTGATTTGCCTGGCTGAGCACGGAGACGGAGGCGTGCAGGTGGGGGGAAGTTAGGAGTGTGGGGACGAAACAAGGCACAGCACGGGTTGTTACGGCTTTGTTGCTGAGTAGTAATTGTTACATTGTTGTCACTGCGTTTCGAAAACTGGTGCTCGTGGTGACACTCTGTGACAGCGCAGACAGTGTTACCCATGCCAGCCCTGCGTGGTTGACACACCGCTGCTATTTGGCCTGGCTGTCTCTTGCATGTGTGCGCTCAGCAAAATTGCTTTCATGCTTTGTTCCCCCCTGGCTTACTGGCGTCCTCTCCCCTCTTATCCCCAACGTCAATCTTCCCAGCATGACCTATGGTGCATCCCTTTTCTTCACCCCCCTGGGCCACTCTCTTCCTCTCCTCTCTCGTTCCCCATGCTTTATCTTTTCCGCCATGGTCTATGCTGCATCCCTTCTTTTCTTTTCACCAAGGTTCTTCCCTTTTCTGTCTCTTCCTGGCCAACTCTCTTTCTCCCTGGCCCCTCGCTTCCCCTCCTCTCTCGTCCCCACCTTTAGTTTCCGTAACACGGCCTATGCTGCTTCCTTTCCCCTTGACTCGTCCCTTCCCCGTCACTCTCGCTTCTTCCCTGCTCGTGTCATTTAAGCAACGAGAGGGTTTCCACCTTTAATCTTCCTGACCAAGAAATACGTACTTTCCTGACGATGCACCTGGTGGATCCGTACTTGTCACCAAGACGTGTCTCGTCCTACCTATCTCCTCTTCCTCAACAGCCATTCGCCCACCAGAGCCTGACACTGAACATTGCTTCCGTTCACCATGATTGGCAAAGCTTGACTCTCCTCCCTCTTTTCTTGCTATCTTCCTCACCTTCCACTGTTCCCCACCGCTCATCCCCCCACCAGGGCCTGGCATGGTACACTACTTCTCTTCACCAAGACACAGACGGTGACGTGGCGAACGACTTTTTCATTGAGGTGCTTCCAGCAGGGTTTCATGCTGCTGAATGTGCACCCTTTCGTCCTAGTGCTTCAATCAGCAGACATGGAAGCACAGGTTGTTCTGATGCTGTTGTCTCTGCCCCTGCAACACCTACTGATGCTGGTGCTGGTGTTGCTGCTGCGTCTGGTGTTTCTGTTGCTTCTGCTGCTGCTTCAGCTGGTGGTGGCAGTGGTGTTAGAAGCAGTACAGGTGCTGACAAAAACGGCCAAGGTATTTTGCACCATACATGTGAAGAGCAAGGACCACATGTGCCAATGAGACCCGTGGGCCTTGCAGAGTGCTTGCAAGGTGATTCCTGCAGCAGAGCAAGTGAATCCGGCCTGATGGGCCTGATCTCAGCTCCTGTTGGAGCCAGATTTCTGCTTATGCGGGTTCCGACAACTTTGCTTTTTCCGTTACAAAACCGGGGGATGATTTCTGTGAAAGACGGAAATTTGATTGTTGGAAGTACGATTTTGTGAAGCGAATTAGTTGCTGAAAGTAAGAATATTTGAAGTCACTGGCCACTGTTGGTGAATTGGTGTGCCGATTTATACATGCGGTATTATGCCTTATGCATTACAGATTTATCCCACGTATCTGTTTTTTGGGGTTTGATAATTACCAGGGTTATTTATCCTTTTTGGACGCCATCTTCAATGCACCCTTCGGTCGATCTTGACCCCAGCTTGTCATCAGAACTCAGGAGCTTCCCTAGTCCCGAGTCCCCCGCACTGGGTGGTGTCGGTGTCAAGTCCCCTTTTCTGTACTGATAGCTTTCCCTGTTCCTGGTGCTGCCTTTGGCATCTAGTTGGTTCATCCAAAGATCACTTATTACCCTCCGCACTTGCCTGATCCAGCAGTTTCTTAGGTGTCACATGACCATGCGTCCATTTTAAACCCGCTGAAACACAAGTTGTGCGATTGCCTTCAAGAGGTCTTACGCTCGTTAGCAAATTTCACTCGCTCTCCTGAAATTCGCTACCCCGTTATAAGCACTCGTTGCTTTCCTTCCCCCGTGATCACCTTCCAATCTCGTGTCACTCCCCCCCGTCACCTCTTTATCGCGAATCTGTTGCTTTAGTAATTGGTTCGAGTAAACTTGCGAAATTAAAACTCATTGGATCGTCGCAAAAGTGTACCACCATGCAAGGAGCGGGAGCGGGAATCCCTAAGCGAGAATCCGGAAGAGGGCTGACGGACCGCAAAATATGCCTCGCGGTGACCTTAGGCGTGGTGCTGGCGGTGGTGGTGTTCACCGTTCAACGGTCACTCGAGGAGCAATCCGCTGCTGCTATTGTCGAATCCCAGGTGGGTTCAAATGGTTACAGTAGTATGGTTACCACACGGATGGCAACTCTGAAGCTGCTGCAGCCGATGCCGGCGATTACCGTCTAACTTCGTGTAGCTGCACTCAAAAGGGCAACCCGCTGCTGGTATTGTCGAATCTCAGGTAGGTTCAGATGGTTACACATAGTCTGGTTACCACGGTTGGTATATCCCAGCGGGACGGGTTTCCAGTGGCCTGATTACCACCTGTATCTTAAAGTAGGTTCTGGCTGTGGTTGTGGTTGGCTGTTTCGGCGGCCATAGGCGGCCATCTGAGGAGCAGCGCTCGTGATATCGTCAACTTCCTCTCTTGCGTTTTATGTTCTCATCACACCTTTTTGTGTGACAAATTGATTCTTCAATACACGTGCTCTGATCACCACCAGATTTACATTGGGATGTCTCTTTTGTCCTTCCACCATTCCGCTTCCTTTCCTCATCGTTGTCTCTTCTCTTGCACCGCCTTCACGTTCCCTTCCGCTCAATTCTCGTCACACTCACATACAGAGTTTGTTCTCCTTTTGCTCCCTTTCTCTTGCCATTCCCACCCCATCCTGTCTTCTTCCCCAATTGTTTTCCAACAGCCCGGATTCCCGCCCCTTTCTCCAGACCCAGAAGAGCGAGCCGAGCAAATCCACGAGCAAACCGAATCTGCCCGGAAAAAAATCGAGGAGCTGCAAGCGACCATAAAATCCATCGAACGGTCACGGGACGAGACAAAGGAACAATTGAACCTTCTTCTCTCCCAGGCGCAAACTCTGGGGGGAGGGGAGGGGTCATCAAAGGACGGCTCTTCAGGCATCAGGGTGATTGAAGGCACGGGAACGCCGGACCAACCAAGTGCGTTCAAGCAGGTTCGGGCCGGACCTGCCGGAAAGGTTCGGTTTCCCCGAACCAACCCTCCGATTGTTCCGAGTTCGGAGGGGGTCGATCCAGCCTTGGAGTCTCTTCTGCTTAAGATAGCTTCGGAAAAGGAGATTTTAGCCACTGTCGCTGCAGCTGAAGTTCAGAATATGATGGAAATCTGGATAAGGCAAGTGGTGAGAGTCGGAATTACCAATGCTCTCGTCCTCTGCTTGGATCCTGCTACCGAAGCAGCTTGTAACGCAGCCTCAGCAAACCAGGTCGCCTGCTACCTCGTCCCGAACCTCCCAGCCTCGTTCGCACCCCCGCAAGCCTCAGCAAACGAGAGCCCGAACCAGCGCGCAGCTTCGGTAATCGACAGCCTAAACGGCGCCAAATTCTACGTTCTACGAGACGCTCTCGCCCTCGGATACTCCATCCTAGTCTCGGACCTCGACGTTAACATTCTCCGTAACCCGTTCTCCTCCGGAGAGCTGGTGCGGGACTGTGACATAGAAGCCATGAGCGTGGGTCACGATCAGGCAACCTCGTATGGTTACAACGACGTTACGGACGATCCGTCCATGGGCTGGGCCCGATACGCCCACACCATGCGGGTATTCGCCATGGATTCGGGGTTCTTCCTGGTCCGCCCCACTGCACCCGCTCTAGAGCTTTTTGATCGGGTGGCGGCACGGCTGGGAGCGGCGTCAAGAGGAGGCGGCGGGATTTCAGGGCTGGTGAGCCCGCTGGTGGTTTTTAATGAGGAGATGTTCTACCCCTCGCGGCCGGACTACAAGGGCGTGTTTATTTCCCGGCGAGTGCTGGACATCCATCGGTTTATCAACTCCAAGGTAGGCTGCTTCTGCCCTTACCTAGCTCTTGCCTTGTTCTTCTTGCCTAGAATTGTCTTTTTCCTGCCTGGGATTGTCCTTGTTCTCCGTGCCTGGGCCTGGGCCTGGTGAGTGAGCCCTCTGGTAGTGTTCAGTGAGGAGATGTTTTACCCTTCAAGGCCGGACTACAAGGGTGTGTTCATCTCCCGCCGAGTGCTGGACATCCATCGCTTCATCAACTCAAAGGTGGGTCGCCCTTGGCGTTTGTCCTTGCTCTCCTCGCCTAGCTTCCTTGTTCTTGCATACTGCAGTTGCAGTCTGTATATTTGTTATATCTTTCAATATCCATACCACCGTGGATGTTTTGTTCCCTCCATCTTCTTGACATGCTCTCTTCAGAGATCTCAACTGATCTTTTGAAGAAGTTGTGCCCCATTCGAGATTGGCTGTAGTGTGCCAACCTCATTTTTCTGTACTCTATTTTCCTATCTCCTTAAAAGTCAACCTTTCAGATCTGGAATGTGATGTTGGCAGATCGTAGTCTTATACTGGATCTGTTATAGCTTGACCATCCTCCAATGCGTTGCTCTTCCTTCATCCCCCTTATAGATTCTTTTTGGAGATCTCAAGCAGGAATATGGCAGGCTGCATTTTGAGTCGACTCAAAAGCCGCCCACCATTTTTCAATCTCCCCGTTGCTTCATCCCCCTTACAGGTTCTCTTCAAAGAGCTCAAGCGGAACTATGGCAGGCTGCATTTTGAGCTGTCTCAAGAATCACCCTGACCATTTTTCAGTTTCCTGTCTCTATCCTGTGATCCATTTTTTAGGTTCTCTTGAAAGAGCTCAAGCGAGAATATGGCAGGACTGCATATTGAGTCAACTGACAAGTCACCTTGAACATTCTCCGTTCTCCCGTCTCTATTTCTTCACCCCCCTTATAGGTTCTTTTCAAAGAGCTCAAGCGGGATTATGGCAGGCTGCATTTTTTTAGTTGACTCAAGAGCCACCTTAACCATTTTCCAATCTCCCTGTCTCTTTTTCGTCATCCCCGTATAGGTTACCTTCTAAGGGCTCAAGTGAGACTACCGGTATTGCAGGCTTAGTTCTGAGTCGACTAAAAAATCCAATCTCCGATTCCTACTCCCTCATTTTCCCTTACAGGTTCTCTTCAAGGAGCTCAAGCGGGACTATGGCAGGCTGCAGTCTTTGGTGGGGTCAGCAGTGGCAGTGCATGGCAATTACCACGTCTATAAGCTCATGCACTCATACTGAATCTGCTATAGCTTGACTTGACCCTTCTCCAATCTCCCATCTCTACTCTTTCATCCCCCTTATCAAAGAGCTCAATCGGGACCATGGCAGGCTGCAGTTTGAGTTGACTCAAAAGTCACCTTGACCATTCTCTGTTATCCCATGTCTATTCCATTATCCCCCTTATAGGTTCTCTTCAAGGATCTCAAGCAGGACTATGGCAGGCTGCAGTCTTTGGTGGGGTCGGCAGTGGCAGTGCATGTCAACTATCACGTTGATAAGGTCACGCGCTTATCAGCCATCACCTCGTTTTTCATGGACCGGGAGCGAGCTGCTTTTGACTCCTTATCCCTGGCCTCCTCCTGAAGCAGCATCAAGTTGCTTTCTACAATTATACGGTGTATAAGCTTGTGCACTTAGCTGTGACCTCCCTTAATCGTATACTGCACTGCAAGTGCAGTGTGTTTAACTAAAGTGGGATGTGGTTGATCAAGACATGTTTGGGTAATGAATTGTCAAACATCAGTGATGTGAGACACTCTTTGGTTTGTTGCTATGGGAGGAAAAAGGGGTATTGTGAAACTGTATTGACAAAAGAGGAAAAAGGGGTATTGTTGAAAAAGCATTTTCGTTCTCAATCAAGCTGTTTGTCACTTAGGGCGTGTTACATTTTTTTAAATCAGAGAAGTCCGGACCACCGTCCGAGAACGGTTCGGATACCGAATATCGGACGGTCCGAGTCCGGCGTCCAGACACAGCCTTGTCTGGACGTTGTTTATGAAACCTTTTAAATGTTACGAAGTAGACAATGCTAGCGAGCTTGTAACCTTGACCACAACGCCATCGCGATACCAGTAACACTCAAGCCACTCGAAGACTCGTTTTCGTCGCCCAGTAAATTGCGTACTCATACGCCCGAAACCCCGAAACTTTATCGAACGGTACTCGTCGGATCGATTTGGGAGGGCAATGTACGCAAAGGGTTCCATCAGCGGTCCGATCTTTAGCGACGTCGTCAGTTCTCGAACGACGAGTCTAACGACATCCAACGAGAATTGTAACTAGTAAAATTTCCGGATGAGGGCCTGTCTGGACGGGCGAAAGTGAAAAGTGGACACGCCCTTATGGCAGCTAATCACAAAACGCTTTAGCGTGAAACAGGGCCTCAGAAGTCAGGATTTTTACCCTGAATTCCTGAAGTTTGACCCTCGTTTTTTATCGTGACCCTGATGTATCAGCCTTTTTTTTTTAACGACCCTGATGTTTCAGTGTTTTTTTATGTGTAACTCTGTTTTTTCAGTGTTTTGTGTTTGAGGACACTGACGAGTCAGTGTTGCATCGAGTTCGACCCTGAAACTAGAAACGGCGCAATCTGATTGGCCCAAGTGTTGTAGGGAGTTCATCCTGTGATTTGCGCCATGACCTGCTACTTCGGCTGTCAAGCTCCTACAGTACCGCCAGCTGTTTTGCTGCACATGGCATCCTTCGTGCCAGGTGGTAAACTTCTCAAGTTCTGATTGGTTGCCACTAATAACCTGTACCCTCTTGACTGTT